TGACATGATGTTAAACCTGCAACATCTTCTCTCTTGGTTACCTTTTGCTTTTCATCTTTCCAATCTGTCCAACTGTCATGATTTTCTCGTTTTTTCGTTCTTATGATGTGCTTAAAGAAAGTAGACTTCTCTTTCTGGTGTTGCTAGTTGTGTAATTCTCCATCTGTGCTCGCCTTACCGTAATGAAACAGATAAAAAGGGTAAAGGTTAGAGTCTAGAGGATCCACTTCATTGCACTTGGTTTTTTAAAATGCCATATGGCTGGGTTTCACCTTGCAGAACGACCAACCACCTGCCGAGGGCGTCGCACAAAGCACGTAGCACCGGTGACGATCCTAATGGGTCTCCGTAAAAACTGCACTCGTGAAACGAGTCAGAACTTGACACATTATGTTTCTGTGAAGGCAATACCTTCTTGCTTTATTCCTCACGGTCATCCTCTAGCTCTGCTGTGAAATCGGTTGGGACTGAAAGAGTCAGCGAAGTTAAAATAGCTCAACGTCTCTTCTGTATACTCTCGCCTTGCAAACGGCATGCACAATATTACAGAAGTTTGCGGCATATTTATAAATAAAAGACTCACAGACAGAGGACGGAACTCGAGTCGCGCGACTTAGACTGGAGTGCGACTTAAGTCGTATAATTAACGACCTGCGATTCGACTTTAGATTTCGCCTAGCGACTGGCGTCTTGACTTGCAACTTGAAGCCTCGACTACTTGGTAGACTGGCTATTCGCGGCTGGCCATTTTGGGGTTTGCTAATCAACGTCACATTTTAAAACGTCTTCATTCAAAACAAGACATAATGAATCCATTTTCGATTTATCAAGCTTTCATATTCGACTTATTTCACCTTTATAGTCCAGTACAGTTAGTCTAATGTTAGTCTCCCCCATAAAGTAGGTCACTTTTCATTCACAAGTTTGTTGGGCTGGTCGACTTTCATGAAGGTTACGGGTGTGTCCAGCTCTGTTGTTTAGTTTCTGTGATATCTTGCGTTTACGTTTTCATTCTGAGAAAGAGAATGCATGGGACATAGGTACTCTCTGTTGTTTGGAGGAGGGGGGCGGGGGGTTAGACTCAGTTTCTCCATGTTTTTTGGAGTGTTAAAAGCGCTTTCATGCTGAAATATACATCACGCGATAATAACAGCATTGCGGAGCACACCCGTAACCGTGTGCAAAGGCTTTTCTTCCCAGGACATTACCTATTTTGGCTGAGTGGTCCATTCAAGCCCTGGTGAAGGTGAAGATGTCGTCTAAATGGGGAAGGGGGGGGGGGTTGAATTCATTAGCACTAGACTCGCAGAAAAACGTTCTAACCACCGAGCTACCACATCGTTCGCCGCACAGCCTACAATGAATTTATTACACTTTCTATCCGTTCAGTGTTTTAGCAAGCACATGCTGCGCATATCGCCCTATGAAAAGTGGAAACGGAAATACCAAGTGAGCCGTCAATAACAGGCGGTGTCAAGGGAAGAAATGGCAGCATGAGAGGTTATGATTGAGTAATTACCGGTGTCAGGCTAGAAAAACAAGCCCGAGAAAGATGAGGACTTAACGATCAGGGTGTCTGCTCAAAAAGAACAGCTTCGGAATGTTGATAGGGCCAGCAGGAGGGCGGAGCCTAGAGGCACGTGGTTGTTAAATAACTTCCGGTGTTTACAAACAGGAGGTGTTTTTAAAAAAAAAAACCTCTGGCCTGTTACAAAAATATGGCTTGTTTAAAAATTACAGTTAAAACATGTTCTCTGTAGTGAAGGCGCCTATTAAAAAGAACGGCGATATAGTGTTCTCTTGTTTAGAGTGGAATTCAACACACACACACAAACTAATTGTTGTTCTGAGACCCCCCCCCCCCCCGGTCATTTTGTCCCTACCACAATGACCTCAACATAGATGTTAATATTTGACGTAGCCTAGGACCTATCTTCCATTGGTCGTCGACAACAGTAACCAGAAAACCCATAAAAAAAAAAAAGATTCAGGCTAGGGGTTAACATAACGTTAATCTCCACAAATAGAGTTAGGCCCCGCCCATTTACACACTAAGTCACTTTCTGTTCTTGAATTTGAAGAAAACGTAAACAATGTCCACAGATATAACTGCCTGTCACCCAAAAATAACAATAAATTATGAAAAATTTTGAAAATGTCACAAACTTTGAATATCTAGGCTCTTTCATAAATAGCAATGGGGACTGTTTGACAGAAATCAAAAGGAGGACGGCCATAGCAATGCAAAAATTAAACATCATTAAGAGTCTTTGGTTCAGCACCAGCAAGGAGATCAAAATAAGAATTTGGAGAGCATGCATCTTTCCTGTAGCAGCATACAGATATGAATTGTGGACTATCTCCCAGTCCTTAAGAAAGAGAATAGGGGCTTTTGAGCTGAAATGCTATAGAAAGATTCTCAGAATATCTTGGACAAAGAAGAGGAGAAATACTGACATCTTGAAAGATCTGAACATCAAAGAAGATTGGCTAATAAACCGCATCCTGTCTCGGAAGCTGAAATATTTTGGTCATATTAAGCGCCACGACGGATTGGAAAAAAGTATAGCAGAAGGCATGGTACCAGGAAGGAGGGGAAGGCGCCGACCAACACGAAGATGGGCACAGGATATAAGTGACTCCTTGGTTATGAAAGTGCTTGAGGCGGGAGAGCTGGCGAGAGACCGAGTTTCTTTCACGCAGACCATGATTATAGCGACGTTCTACAAAGGACCTATACGTGATGATGATGATAATCCATATAATTTTGATATTCAAACAAAAGTACCAGTAAGTAGCCATGTGTTATTGAAGTTTTTGTGAACATCACTTGCTTAAAGTGGAATCATCTGTCGTTCAGATACAAGACGAAATTTTTCTGTATTTTCAAGCCCCACCCCGGCTATAGTCAAGGGCCCTAATATAACCTTACGGTTGAACGGGGTTTTTGGGACCTCTCCCCGGGGTGATCCTCATCCGCATGATGGCACTTTGTGTGGATCTCCTGGCGGGGTTGAATCTGACTCATTCATTCCTTACCTGAGTCAATGGTTTCCTTGACATTCCACTTGCGCCACGCCTTCTTTCAACAGATGTTCAAAATGTGCCAGTAAATATCTTTCTTGCAAGGAAGTTTCAAACCTAGTGTGAATAGCTTCAGCTCTTTCAGCCACAGACAGGTGTCACGTTAACTCCTTATACCGTAAGAGGTTGTTACTTTAACTGATATATTTTTTTGGATCTGAAATAATAAAAAAAATAATAACATGAGGCAGAAGAGTTAAAATAAAAACCGGTGGAAATTGGGTTAATTTAAAAGAGATTTGGAACAAATGGGTTAATATAATATAGATTTGGAACAAATGGGTTAATAAAACAGAGATTTTTAAAAAGAAAGTAAAATAAATTTTTAAAAAAAAGGGATATCAAATAAATATAAATAAACTAACTCATACTGCGCTGCTTGGTATTCAAGGAGTTAAGTAACCTTGTGTGACTATAGTTTTAAGTAACGAAGTGTGACTAAAGCTTTAAGTAACCTAGGGTGACAATAACTTTAAATAGCCTAGTGTGACTATAGCTTTAAGTAACAGTGTGTGACTACAGCTTTAAGTAACCTAGTGTGACTAAGGCTTTTAGTAACGTGGTGTGAGTAAAAAAAAAAAAAAGTTATCATCCCTTTCCACGCCTTTAGACGTATCAGGTTTTTGGGAAGAGCGCCCATATTTTTACATACCATCCGCACTCGGTGGGTAATGTGGTCAGCATTACGCCGGCTGTCTTTACTTTCTCAGGACAGACCATCCTGGTACCCATTCTATACTGGGTCGACCTGCGACGCCCCATACCATGATAAAAATCCACGGAAGCCAGCAGTGGGTTTCGATCGCGGTACGCTGGATTACGATTCGAGCTCGCAACATCTAAGTCACGTGGTGTGACTATAGCTTTAAGTAAAGGTTAGGGCTCTTTTCATGCCATAATCGTTTACGTCCTTCTTAGGACGTAATTTTTTGTTATTTGAAGCCCCACTCTGGCTTTTGCCAGGGGCCGCAATATAGGCAGGTCATCATTATGGCCAAATGTCTGAACGCGGTTTCTGGGACCTCTCCACGGTGATCCTCATCCGCATGGTGGCACTTTGTGTCATCGGGTGTTTATCGCTTGTGTGATGTCCTGGTGGGGTAGAAATTCAGTCTGTCTTTTCATGCCAATTTCGCTATGGGTATATTATGGTGGACTCATTTTTTTAAAAGAGTTATCAATTGTCACTAGTGACGATGTCAACATCAGGCATTCGTCTTTACTTCCCAAAAGATTGCCTGCTATCCAGTGTCCTTCTCCCACTTCTCCCTGGCGGTAGGTAGGAGTAGTCAGTATTTGGATCTTTTGGGGCATCATTTTTCCAGCGCCTCTGAACGGTTAAGAACTTTGGGCTCTCATGTGGGCGACTGTGGTTTGAGTCCTAAGTAGAATTATGGCATTTTTGTTGTTATCGGGGGCAAAAATAACACGCTAAACAACCTGCACAGTCCGTGGCGACAACACTAGCCAAGCTGTCGTAGATCATCAGGCTCAAATATTCGCTGCCTACACCACAAAAGTGGTAAATGGAGGCAGTAACGGGCAGGTGTCTACTCTAACAGTCATGTTGTGGGCATTACTGGCACTTTGTGGGCATTACCGGCACTTTGTGGGCAATACCGGCACCTTTTTAAACACTTTTTGACAAGTAGCGGTAATTAATTTTCTTAAAAGGAAACAAAACAAAAAAACGCCACAGCTCCGTAAGTATAGATGGGAAAATGTTAATGTAGTTAGAGACAGCGAGAAATAATAATTGAGAGATGTGGGAGAAGCTATAAGAGGTAGCAGAGGATATAACAGGGGCTGGCCCTGATATGGTTGGGGGGCTTTAATCTACTGGGAAAGAAGAGGGGGTAACAGAAAGATGAATAACAACATTTATTCACTAACTGCTTTTGTCTAAAATTTTGCAGGATTCAATAGAAATTCTGTCTAACCAGGGAGTCAGGATTGAGCCGTACCACAAAAGTCACGTCAAACTGGCATTAGTTGATCAACTAGACACAAGTGATAATTCTGAGTGAGTTTGGGTTTGAATCTCTCAGTCATTTGTCTATCAGTCTATCTGTCCGTCCATCCATTTGTCTGTCTTTCCGTATGTTCAGCTTGCTGCCTTCAGATACAGTACCAAACACGGACACTCAAACACTTACACCCAGTAGTGGAAATCAGAACATCCAACAAAAATCTCAGGCAAACGTCGATGGGAGAGGCCAAATATGCTGAGTTGGATTCCATCCATGAGAGAGAGAGAGAGAGAGAGAGAGAGAGAGAGAGAGAGAGAGAGAGAGAGAGAGAGAGAGAGAGAGAGAGAGAGAGAGAGAAAGCATAGGGTAGAGCGGAATGTTAAACAGCATTAACAGTCTATGGTTGAGCGCCAACAAGGAAATCAAAAGTCAAATTTGTGTGAGCATCTTCCCTTCAGCAACATACGGTGTGAGTCGTGGACTATCTCACAGTCCTTAAGAAAGACAATGAGAGCTTTTGAGATGAGATGTTTTGGAAATAATCTCAGAATATCGTGGACTTAGAAGAGGATAAATACTAGCATTTTAACAGATCTGAACATCTACGAAGCTTAGCTAATAAACAGCACCTTGTCTCGAAAGCTGAAATATTTTGGTCATATTAAGCGCCATAGCGGATTGGAAAAAGTAACAGCAGAAGCCATGGTAGTACCAGGAAGGAGAGGGCAGGGGCCGACCAACACGAAGATGGGCACAGGATATTAGCGACTCCTTGAGTATGGAAACACACAGGGCGGGAGAGCTGGTGAGAGACCGAGTTTCTTTCAAACAGACAGTGATGAGAGCGACGTTCTGCAAAGGACCTGCTGCATGAGGATGAGAGCCGAATGAAAGACTAGACTGTGAACCTTATGTGACGTATATAAAGAGACTAAAGGATGGTGATACGTATCGCCCACACATGGTCGATGATATATCCTAGTATGTGTCCATTTTCTACTAATTCATATCCCTTTATTCAGCTTAGTATTCAGGTATGTACAACGTGTGCAGCTGCAAAGGGTGGCGCAATTCTGAGATCGACAAAATGTCGTGACGGCAAAATATAGCTAGTAGTGAAAGTGAAGTCAAGGACTCCTTGCCTCGCTCTCAGACGTATTGGGTATGTAGGGCTAGATCTATATTTTATAAAACAATCGATATTCGGTTGTTGATGTGATCAACATCCCGCCAGCCAACTTTACGTCCCAGAACTTTACCTGGTACTCATTTGAGGCTATTTCAGCCTGGAAGCTAAGCTCGTTTTTGAAAAACAATTCGCCTTTTTTCAGGATCTGAATCCACAACCTTTGGATCCTCAGGCGATTATCTAGCCGCTACACCACAGCGTCTCCCCTGTAGTACAAACATTGTACTCACTGGGCACATGAGGCTAGACTCATAGTTAGATAGACCAATGGGCGATGTGGTCAGAATCACGCCGGCTGCCTTTACTTCGCATGACTTCCCTGATACCCATTCAAAGCTGGGTCTACTTGGCAGCCATGGTCGTGTTTGAATAAATTCGGACACTCTGCAGATTTGAACCCACGACCTTCAGATTTGCAAGCGAGCATCCAGCCGCTACACCACGGTGGCTTCCAAAATATATACATAAATAAATGTCTGCACAGGGATGACATACACCCTAAATACCGGTCTGATTATAGATAATTTTTTTTTCTGTACGTCAAAAGACAGGTGTCACACACACTTACCAATGCACATTTTCTTTCCTAATACCAGATTTCGACTGAGTTTCGACTTTAGAACAACTTCTCCTGATGGAGTCTTGTTCTACGGCAGATCCAAGAACCCGCGGGAGTTAATAGGGCTGGTCCTGAATGGAGGTGACCTCATTTACAAAATCCAGTGCCCCAGTCTGCACGCAGACATCTTGTTGCCAACAAAAAACAACAGCAGACTCAACGATGGCACCTGGCATAAAATTGCCTACAGTGTAAGTGACACACGACACACTACAGTGTAAGTGACACACGACACACTACAGTGTAAGTGACACACGACACACTACAGTGTGAGTGACACACGATACACTACAGTGTGTAAGTGATTTCTTTAACAAAGCAGCTTTTCTGGCTGTTTATCACTTCATACTACAGTGTAAGTGATTTCTTTGATAAAGAGCTTTTCCAGCTGTTTATCGCGATATACTACAGTGTAAGTGATTTCTTTAACAAAGTGCGTTCCCAGCTGTTTATCACGACATACAACAGTGTAAGTGTTTTCTTTAACAAAGAGCGTTCCCAGCTGTTTATCACGACACACAACAGTGTAAGTGATTTCTATAACAAAGAGCGTTCCCAGCTGTTTATCACGACATACAACAGTGTAAGTGATTTCTTTAATAAAGAGCGTTCCCGGCTGTTTATCACGACATACTACAGTGCTTTTTCAAAAAGTTTTGCCCTCACACTTTAACAAATGTCTCGTCAACTCTTGTACGGATCAACACGAATTCTTGCATATGGCTTTAGGAGACCCATGTCCTTACGATTTACAATTTACAATTGCATATACTCCTATAAACGGTCCGTCCCAATCTCCAGCAACAAGCACCAGTAACTGTCTGATCGTTTATCCGTCTCGCCTTTCCTTTGAGTGTTGAGTCAGCCAGATCCCCTGGTAACTCCTCGCAGCGCCGTTCTCCTCAGACCGGAATGATATTTTTGAGGCCTCCGCACTGTTAACTCCCTCCCAAAGGACCCTCACAACATCTAGCTTGTCAAACATCTGATAAACACTAAGTGGTGCAGAACCGGCCAGTCTTTCTGTCTCATTGTTTCCCAACACACCAGCATAACCCGGAGAAAATATCCACAGGGCGTTAACTACCCGGGACCTCTGAAGCAATGCTTGCCACTCTGCACGGAGCATGCTTGTCTAAACCTTTCTCAGCATGCGTTGTTAGTCCGTTATAATTAATACATGTGTGTAAATCTGCTTCTCAAGCCAGCAGATAGCACCAGTGACTTCCTCCACCTCCATTCTCAAACAAGACGTTGTTCAGTCATTGTTGCACGAAGCAACGTTTATTCGTTTCTGCTATGAACCCCCATGCACTTCGTTTGCCTCTCAGAACGGAGCCATCTGAAAACATTACTTAGGTGGGTATTGTCATGAATCGTTTGTTGATAATTCTGCAACGCCAGCTGGCCAGTCCCTTCACTTACGACCTAAAGTGATTAGAACCCTACACAAGACTGTTTCATTCTCGTACACTCGAACCCACTCCTCTCCTCGCCAAAATTTATCAAGCCTATACCATGTCTAATTGTTTCTTCAGTTTGCGCCACCCAAGGCCTTCCTCTTTACCTAGGGCTTCATGCAGAAGGAGCTTCTTGTTTGCAGCTACTTTGAGATATGACTTTGCTTACAGAACTTTGAACCTATCTGCATTAGTAGGCAGTGCAACTTTATCTCGCATACATACTACTGGGGTATCTCTTGTACAATCCCAGAGTTACCCACGTTGTACATCCCAGAATTACTCGCACAGTTTCATTCTGTATACGTTTAAGTTTCATCAGCTGACTCTTTTATATGGTAAGTATTCCAGGTTTAAAATCTATCATTGACAGGATCACATGCTAGAACAGTGTGAACAATATTCCTTGTTCTATGTCCATTACAGCCAAAATCTTGATAGCATTTAGTTCGTTGGCATTTCACTGCATCTGCCTATACGTGATCTCTGACGGACAGGCTTATATCTAAAATGGTACCCAGGTACCTGAGCTTGGTTTCTCTTTTGATTTTTCTGTTAATAATTGTGAGGTTTGGAGCATTAGCTCTTCCAATTATATTGTCCCTACAGTACGATAAAACAGTCTGAGTTGATGACAGTAACTACTTCAGCACACCAGTCAGTCAATGTGTGTACAGTTTCCTGTAGCTCTTGGGTTGTGTGCTGCCTATCGCTTCCCTGCCTCATGCAAGAGGATATTCTGCAAATGTCAGTATCCTTCTAACATTTGGTGCTTTGGGTTTTGCAGTCTTGCTTGTATACACAGCGAAGAGCACAGGTGAAACGGCAGAACCCTGGTGTAGTCCCAAGGCGATATTACATGCTTCTGAGGTCCATGGAACCAGGCAAAGGGCAACAATGCATGAATGCAGGACAGTTGCTGTCCAGTTCATCAGCCAGGGACAAACACCCTTCTCCATTAGTGCAGACATCAAAATATCATATCTGATTCTATTGTAGGCATACTCAAGATCAAGTGCTGCTACAACTGTCTCCTATCTATTCTGGAAAGCCTCATTAACATCAAAAGCAAAAGTTCTCTCCCCCCCCCACACACACACACACACACCACACACACACACATATATATATATATATATATATATATATATATAGAGAGAGAGAGAGAGAGAGAGAGAGAGAGAGAGAGAGAGAGAGAGAGAGAGAGAGAGAGAGAGAGAGAGAGAGAGACCAACCCTTTACAAGTGAGATCGAATACCGGCAGCAATGCTGTCAAACACAATCGTTAGCACGTATTACCCGTGACCTTCCCAGTGAAACTTACCACATTACTCGAAGCATCCATTAATTCACCTCTCTCAGAATGCTTTCACAGTCTGTTTTAACACCGACGATGTTTGTATGCATCTTGTTCTCTAGCCACTGAAGAGTTGCAGTTACCGCCTCAACCTCCATTCTCATGCTAGTTGTTGTGGTATCGTATGCTAGGCTGTCTTGCACTAAAGATTTTCCATTGGTTTTTGCTACGAGCCTCCAGGCATTTCTCTTTCCTCTCAACGCCGAACCAAACTGGTGACCCTATTTGAAAAAAAAATGGAAAATCCAACTAGGTACTTCTGCCAACATTGGAGAAGCGATAGTTTGTTGTAAAAACACAGTACACTACGAATTACAAGTTGGCCTGTGTACTTTTCGACCTCGTGTTATTTTAGCTTAAAATTCTGTACAAGGCTTAAAACTACCTAACGCGTTTTATAACCGCTATATAAGACAACTCTCAGTTTTGTGTGTATGTGAGGAAGTCACAAATAGTTATGGGATGGCAGAAAAATAATGTTGTTGGTTTCTAAAGGTGTCATTAGGTGACAACCACATCGAACTTTTTGTCTCCATTCGTTATGTAGCACTAGGTGTTGCATGCGCAAATGCAACACAAAAACAAAATGGCGACTGTACTTACGGAGTGTATCCTCTCCAAGAACAACGTGCCGTTGTGTGTGTTTTATAGGAGGTGGGGGGGGGGGGCTGTCTGCAAATGGCAATCATAAGAAAACGCTTCCTGTTAGTGCTGACAAATGTTTATCCCGTTAGCTGGGTAAACTGTTTTTTAGGGACGCTTTACGATTGTGATGAATCCGATCTGGTCGTCCTGTTGAGATTTCAACAGACGCATCTGTGCAGCAGGTGGAGGAGATGATTAGAAATGACAGGCGAGTAACGGTTGACTCTGTAGCAGCTGCAATAGGGTGCTCACATGGTTTACCTGGTTCAGTATAAAACAAAATGTATGATCGATTGAAATTTAAGAAAGTGTGCCTAATGTCAGACAACGGACATATGAACACAAAATGAACCGAGTAGGCCTGTCCTTGCAGTATCTCTGTCGATAAGCAGATGAAGGAGAAGACATGCTGAACAGGATTATTACTGGGGACGAATCATGGGTGCATCACTACCAGCCCAAATCAAACAGTGCTTTATTGCGTTGGAAACATCTTTCTTCGCCTTGTGTTAAAAAATGCACGCTTACGCCATCAACAGGGAATGTTTTGCTGATAGTGTTCTGAGACTGTCAATGAGTGCTTTTAACAAATTTGAAAAAAAAAAAGTGACAGTGTGAATGCTGAGTCATATTGTAAAGTAGGGTAGAAACTTCTAGAACAACCACCTAACAGCCACGACTTAGTCATTAGCGAGTTCCACCTTTTTGGTCCACTGAAAACTCACACTGGCGGGAGACATTTTGTGAATGACGCAGAAGTTAATGTGAAGTGAAAATATGGTTTAGAAAACAGAGCACGCAGTTCTGTGCGGCAGGTTTGGGAAGACTGATAACATGATGGGACAAATGCCTCAGTGTTGATAGAAAAATAAAGAGACATTGTTTGAGTAAAAATAAACGGTTTTAAAGCTGTTATCGTCTTCAGTTTTCTTTAAACAACAATTTGTGACTTACTTATTGACTTGCCCTTGTATTAAGTGAAAATATGTTTGTGGCTTTTTAACAGATTAAGTATCGACCATACGACACAAAAGGCTACATAGAAATTGATGGTCACTCAAGTATCAAGCGGTATATAGTCAGCTGTGGGGCGCTGACCACGCTGATCATGGGCGGGCACAGCGAAGAGGACAAGGGACACATCGCGAACCTGGAGGTCAGTAATGGTATCGGCGTGTTGATGGTTAAGATTATATTCTTTGCTTGTAGTCCACGCAGTAGTCTTGCGGTTTGTGATATTTTATTTCTATACAGTGACGTAGAAAGGGTGGGTGAGGGCCACAACTGGTGTCATAACGTAGACTTGTGTCCATGCAAGCTCGTAAGGCTTTAAATTCATAGTAACCTGGAGAAAATGGTGAATGAGAGTAAAGTTTCCAGAAAACGAGGCAGAGGCAGACCCCCGCGAAGATGGTTACAAGACATCAAAGATGTTTTACACAGTGCTGGTGAACTGGGAAGAGACAAAGAGATTTTCAGGCGGAGCTGTGACGGGAGCGACGTTCTTCAAAGGACCTAATGATTGATGATGGCTCATCGGGTATTTAGTTCTAAACTCGTTGTTCTTTATAAACTATGGGCAATGTTGTAGATAGATAAATTGCACCCACCAGGACATCTTACAAGCGATAACACCCGGTGACACAAAGTACCACCATGCGGAAGAGGATCACCCGTGGAGAGGTCCCGGAAATCCCGTTCAGCCGTTACGTCATATTTAAGGCGCCGCTATATTCACGGCCCTCGGCAAAGGTTGATGTGGGGCTTTAACATAAAAAAATTGCATGCCACAAGGGTACGAATGTATCCTGTGTTGTCAGGTAAGTATATGGATGGCTAATGTGGTTATCATCACGTTGGTCGTTATTTTTGTCCCCGTCTCCAGTTCATTTGCGGTACAAATGTTACCCTACGTCGGGTTGGGAGTTGAGGTTAGTTACAAAAATAACCGCCTCTCTGTAGATTCAAACTCAAGAACTTCGAGGCTAGCCACTTGACTGCAGGTCTTCCTTCCTTAAGAGACTGGTGAATATTTGAAGCCCTAGTGGTGAACGTTGCATATATAATTGTTGCTATGTTGTTTTTTTTCTTGCCACAAGCTTTTATCTTAACATTAACATGTGCCTTGCCGATACGCAAAGTTGATAATACTTCGTCATCTCACATTATCACCATAATCTCGAATCAGGTCATAGATATTGTTTCCACTTGCCCCATCTATATGGCTAAGACATCCGATATTTGTCTCTTTGTCTTCGTCTGGCTCTCTTGTCATCATTATCGACAGCAGTCTCCAAGTTCTGGAGTCCATTCCTTTCCAAACAAACACTGATATGTTTACTCGACATGCTGTTGATTGATTTCTCATGTATACTTGCAGAACTTGCCCGGACATTTTGAAGGCTGCATCAGAAACGTCTACGTCCCGGTCCCCCTTCGCTATCCACCCAAGTACTACGCTGTGTCCGTCTGCGAATAACTCACCCAGGACAGACAGTGTATGATACCAAAGAACAATCAGATGAATCTGCAATGTTTCAACTCGTGCAACTATTGCCCAAAAATCCAGGAATCTCCTCTGTCCTTCTGAGTACAGTGTAAAAGTGATGTGTGAAGAGTGCACAACTGTTTCTGGTTTAACAGTACTTATTGTTGCTAACGGCGTCTTGGAAGACAGAAAGAAAAGAAACATCAACAGACACAATCGCAAGAGCATCATCAGCAGACTCAAAAATGCAGACAATCACTTCGGACCTGTCACGTGATACAAATATAAAACACCCTGGTGTCACCACTGGCACTCTGAGTGTAACTTTGGCTCCAGAACTAAGTTTAAAGCTTTGCAAACGATCTTTTTTCAGCGTTGAAAAAAAATCTAGCCCCCCCCCCCCCCCCCTCCCCCCCTCCCCTTTCCAAACATTTGATCTTTTAAGAAAATTGAGCTCTTTTTCCCCCTATAGAGCAACGGTTCTGAACTTGTCGGTCGTGACCCTTCTTTGAGTTGAACGACCCTTTTACAGGGGTCACCAAAGACCATTGGAAAACACATATTCATTTAAGTTATCAAGGAAAATAATCGTTTGGGGGCCCCACAACATAAGAGAACTGTACTAAAGGGTCGTGGCGATAGGAAGCTCTAGAGCTTAGCTCTGTTTTACAGAACCAAAATCTTTCTACAGATCCTGGCTCATGTTACAGAAGTGAACTCATTTTGCAGACCCGGCTCATGAATCACTGTTGCAAAGTATAGAAACCTTTTCTCTGCACCGTTACCTTCTGTGAAGCGGATTGACGCAGATGTGACAAATCCGCAACTCCATTCTACCTGCCAACAGCTTGTTCCAGCGATTATTTAATTAAATAATGTTATATAAATTAAAAGCCTGTATTTACAACTTATGTATTCTAATTATTTCTAGTGCTCGGAGTTTGAATGATAAAAATTGTAATGAAGATACCTTGAAATATCATTCTCACAAGCCGAACTAGTTATTCAAAGCACTGAAAGTATTCACATTTCTAGAGCAAATCGTAAGGAGTGAACTGCAATACTTCATGATAAAATGAAAATTGGCGGGGAAGAGAGCCAAAGGAGGTTAAAGTCGAAAGGATCGACTTAATTACGCCATGTTATTTTTCATATGACTCGGTCTCTCTTTCTCCCCCTCTCTCTCTCTCTAAAGAACGACTAGCCGCCTGCCAAAAACGTCGCCGAAAGCACGAACACCGTAGTTCCGTCGACTTTCCCCACGGTCTCCGTAAAATGTACACTGGTGAACCGAACGACACAGCAACGACCTTCAGGGCGCGAGACAAACGGCTTGGCCACTTCGTCACGGACTCCCGTTCAAATGAGTGATAAAGAGAGGGGATGATGGAGAATTTGGTCTCATATCCTAGGAAACCATTAATGTCCGCTTGTATTCTCAGTAGGGATAACAGCAGCTTGTGGTGAGACACGAATACCAACGCCATGTGTCATGGATATTAGAAAAAGAAGAATTGTGTAAAGAAGGGGGGGGGGGGGGAGAACCTCTATGTTTATACCAAATAATATCCACAAATAATATTTAAATACTAATGTATCATGACACCTCAATGAATATTAGACAATGGCAGCTGAAACACAACACACTATATTTGAACTTTTTTCTGTGGCTCCCCTGCAAAGAACCTATTAGGTGTCTGCTTGTGAAACATGAGCAAAAAGCAGACACGCCGATTGAAGTTTGATATCACTAGAAATATGGCTTGTGGGAAAACTGCATAGGATACTATGTACAGACAGAAAAATAACCAGACAGTCCTAAAAGAAAAAGAAAAATGTTAACTTCGTGGTTTGTCCAAGTGACGAAATTGTGTTGTGTCTTTTTTTACGAGCATAACTGTGACATCTACGGCTTTCCACTGACACATCCTACGATATTTGGCATTTGTTTTACCGAGTTAGCCATCCCAGTTAGTTTCATGGGATATTATGGGACATTTTACAACCTCACTTGTGTGGGGACGTCCTTATCCCCTGATCCACAGGTGTTGCCCACAGAGGGCACATTTAGACCAGCCGCGTGCAGACTGGTAGACCCTTAAGGGGAGACAAGGGCAGAACATGAGCTATTTTTGCTATCTAAGGAGGAGGCTTCCATAAATGTAGAAGCTCTCTGATCCTATGCTCACCAAATGAATCAACACGTTCTGCGCATGACTGCTTAACTCCACATGCGTAAACTGAGCCTTCCATCATCGGGTCCTTCCCATGACTGCTTAACCCCGCATGCGTGAACTTAGCCTCCCGCCATCGGGTCCTTCCCATGACTACTTAGCCTCCCACCATCGGGTCCTTCCCATGACTACTTAGCCTTCCGCCATCGGGTCCTGTCCATGACTACTTAGCCTCCCGCCATCGGGTCCTTCCCATGACTACTTAGCCTCCCGCCATCGGGTCCTGCCCATAGCTACTTAACCCCACATGCGCAAACTTAGCTTCCCCCATAAAAATCCTTACGTCCTTTTCAGGACGTAATTTTTTTCTTATTTGAAGCCCAACTCTGGCTTTTGCCAGGGGCCGCAATATAGGCAGGCCATAAAAATGGCCAAATGTCTGAACGCGGTTTCTGGGACCTCTCCACGGTGATCCTCATTCACATAGTGGCACGTTGTGTCATCGGGTGTTTATCGCTTGTGTGATGTCCTAGTGGGGTAGAAAATCACTCACTCACTTAGCCTCCCGCCATCACGTCCTTCCCATGACTGCTTAACCCCACATGCGTAAACTAAGCCTCCCATCATCGGGTCCTTCCCATGACTGCTTAACCCCACATGCGTAAACTTAGCCTCCCGCCATCGGGTCCTTCCCATGACTGCTTAACCCCACATGCGTAAACTTAGCCTCCCGCCATCGGGTCCTTCCCATGACTGCTTAACTCCATATGCCTAAACTGAGCCTCCCGCCATCACGCGCTGCACCTCTGAGTCATCAACAGGAAGCAGTCCGCGGATCTGAGATTCGATTCGTTGCACCACACAAAATGGGCGACCGGCTCTCTAGCTTAGTCGGCTAAACCGGATTGCGCAGTGAGCGGGTGACAAACTCCTTGTGGTCCAGGTTCGCTCCCGGGGGTGGGCAGAAAAGCCACATTTTCTCCCAGATTTGCGGTATTTACAATGGAATTAAGACCGAAAGGTTGCGATATCCATAATACCGAGCCTAAGGGTTAACAACTCATGGCTTCTGGATACTAAAACAAACACAAAATGGGCATCTCGATTCCCTACCCTTTACGGTCACAACATTCCGGACGAATGACAACTTGGGTTCAAGTGTTCACCCATCTTGTGTTCTATACTGAATGACAAACTGTGATTCATTTAGTAGGAAACTCTGTTTAGGCCGATACTGGACATTATCCGCAGTGCACGGCAAGGTCGTCAGGCAAGAGTCTTGAATGAGGTTCCGTAAAACCAGCACCAAGCCTGCTGGCGCTTGAAGTCTCTCATTATACATAGCACAATCGCCGTAAGTTGATTTCATTCCTATGCTTAAAGTGAGTATCTCCTTATACACAGCACAATCGCCGTAAGTTAATTTCAAGCCTATGCTTGAAATCTCCTTTACACAGCTGAATGAACAACATTTCGAAGCCACTGAGATGTGATTTTACAAAAGAATCCTTAGAATTTATTGTACAGCTAAAAAGAGAGACCCAGATGTTTTGAAAGAAGCGAAGGCTCGAAAACGACTTATATCAAACATCTGAAAGAGATGGTCACTATTTTCTAGTCATTTTAGAAGAAGGAAACTGGAACATGTTGTGACTACTGGAAACATCTGTGGAAAGAAAGAAAGAGAAAAGGAGACAGAAAAAGAGAGAGAGAGAGAGAAGAGGAGAAAGAGAGAGAGACAGCGCGAGAAGATTCTTGACAGCCTTTTGTCATGGCATGCTGAGGTTTCAACACACTAACTGATACATGCAGTTGTGGATCGCAGACTGTAGAGAGATACGATCGCCCTAAGCAAGACACTTGATGATGATAAGGATGATATTGATTCACCCCCTCCCCACCCCACCCTACACCCAAACCTGCCTAAGACAATTGAATAAGGAGCCAGATTCTGCATAATGTTATGCTTTACCAATTTTAAAGACACTTGAGAGTGTGACTTTTGGCGTAACCATGACCCACTTAAGTAGGTTATCGGCAAAATGGTGTTTGTACGAAGGTAAAGGTACAACCAAACAACAATACCGTCCACACAATAAAAGTTGGTTGCAATTGACCTCTAATTCTCGTCTGCCATTCAGGCTGATATATTCAATTTCTGGATGGTATGGTAGCAGCATGGAGAGGACAAATAGATCGATCCCTGTCTCTCGACCGACTATATTGTACGCTCTCGTATACTGCTGCTGTTAGTCTGAATAACATAAGGGGTCACTACACGGCATTTTTCCCAATTTATGACAAAAATATCACATTTTCAATGTGTTCGTTTTTGTAAAGTTCGGCATTCGTACAATAGATGACACAAAAAATTTATGTCATTTGTAAACAATTTAGCATTGAAAAGTTAATACTAATGACACCACCTCGTGCACTTTTTAAAGATAAAAAAAAGTTTAAAAGTCAGTTTTCTCAAATCTTTATATTTCAGTTTGTTGTGTGTGTGAAATCCTAAAATCTAAGCTAATATGAAGAGTAGAATCATCAAATTTTGTATGCATACTCCATAAACAATATTATAGGGACTGGTTTATATAAAAGTAGATTTTAGAAAGTGTTTGTTTCTAAAATTTGATTATTGTCTTATGATGCTAGATTTTTTAGACTTTTTCAATAAACCTACATTTTAAAATTCTACGAAAAATATTTAAAAACATGTTTAAAGTAAATAAACTAGACCAGTACCTGTAAATAGGACGAAAGGTCATGGATCTTGTATCTATTGTTGAATACCTATGTTTGCTTTTAAAATTTAAG